GACAAAAACTATTATCTCTGGCTCTTCATGCGGAATGTGATAATGATGCCGAATCAAGGAGTCATTCGTGCGGGTTGAAGGAATATAAATGACAATAATCGATCGCCTAGTAGAAAAGTGCTGGTTCAACAACATACCGTCAATGGCCGAAATAATATCAAAACGAAAATGATGAAAATAGAATGAGTCTAAATATTTTTAAGGAATTTTTATCAACTTTCTATAATTATTTCTCGAAAACAACACAGACTATCGATGTATTTCCTTCTGACTGTATTCAATGATGGGGCTTCTACTCCCAAACAATTTTCATTTAAGGTTGTTGTACCGTAAAATTTTTGTTCAACAGTTTTCGTTAAAAATTTTATAGTGAATAGTTAAAAAAATTAACGATAAAATGAGCCCTTTCGGTTTCCGGTTGACCTGTTTGAACTTGAGGTATAAATTTTAAAAATTTAACACGTGTTTAAATAGTTTTCCTGATTAGAATTTTTTAAATATCAGCGGCTCGACAATTTTCGAAATACAAAAAAATATGGCATATATATCATGGAAGGGAATACGGAAAAAAAATCAAGCAATTATGAATTATAAATAAATATAAATTATATAATTGAAAATAGTTAATGTGGAAAATATATAGTTATGCTTTAGCTATCCATGCACAATGGAATCAATCAAGTGCGACCATATACCGTGAAAAGATTGTGTTCTAAACTGGCCCGTTTTAGTGTATAAAATTTTTGCAGAGACTATCTCGATACAACAACCTTAAACACCATCAAACCGTTGATATTCAAGAAATCCGTGACGCTCCATCAACTATTCATTTGCTTTCAATAATTTATCAACACTCGTCGATTTTGGTAACCGTTTGTACTATCAAATTGAAATTGGTCTTGAAAATTCAAGAAAAATGAAAATAGTTCATTATAAAATTTTAATTAATTATTTTCTGATTGTCCTTGTAGAACTTATCATTTATTGAGGAGCGTACGCAAATTGAGGGGTTAATCTGGATTGTTTAGAGCCCACAACCTTCACAAAAAATTCGGGAAAAAGAAAGAAACGGTTCATGTCCCCTATACACTATAAAAATAATAATAACCAATTTTTTTTATATTACGGCTTTTTCTGACTCCCTTTTTTGGCTCATTGGCTCTATCCCACCCTATGCATGTGGCTGTGGATCCTACACTGTACCGTATTCACTTTCCTACAGAGCATAGAAGTGACATGGGAAACCACAGGAAAAACCATGTCGGTACAGACGGTTCCTCTATTAGCAACCTCCCGCTTATCAGTGCTTGTTGAAAAATTCGATTCAACGGAGAATCGAACCAACAACTTTCACAATAATAACTAAATTGTTGATCAGATGGGGTAACCAATTTATCATGATTGTAAAGTTGATCGACAGTCCAATGATAGTACAGTGTTCGGTTTATTGATCGAATATCGTATACTTTGTGAAATTTGCCTGCAGATTACGATGATCAGCCAATGGTATGATACATTGAATAGCAAGTCATGTCAAGTGAAGTCATGACAGTGTGATGAGTAGGGGCTTACCCATGAGCATCTACTTATTGGAGTGAACTGACACTTATTGACATGGGGCTAAATCCCAGTCTACAGACAGCTCTTACGCAAGACTTTATCATCGGGAAATTAATATGCACATCACCCACTTCCTGTTAATAATGGTCTTTCCTATTTTGTTGGAAAAATCAAGGGAGAATCTTCTACATCCTAGTTTCAAATATCAATAGAAACACCTGTGAAAAAGTAGGATATTTAATGTACTTTGTGGTCAATTTGTAGAACAACGAAAGAAAGATTTTACTTCATCCCATCTTCAACACAAATAACGAGACATTGTAATATTTTTAGCGGACAAAAAGGTGTTGGTTTATTACTTGTAAAATGTTAGCATTTTATATAAAACAAACGCATTAACATAAGAATAGGAACATTGTAATTGCGATTTGATAATTGAATTGATTTTTACTACGTCATGAATTTGGTTCTCTGAAGATTTAGTTTTGCTCCACAATTTTTTTTCTCTTCGAAATGTTGATTTATATTTGAAGGAACAGTTATAATACCTTCATTCGCTTCTGCGTTGCGAATTCTAACGGAGTGTAAAGCGATAATGGAATATTATCAATAATATGAAAATAAACAATAATGTTACAATCATGATTATAAGAATAATAATACAACGACGATTAAACACACACGTTTGATTATGACAGATCTATATTGCGTTTAATAAAATATATAATATTGTATGGAGTTTCCGTCATTTGTGTTCTTTTTTCTTTTTATCTCTTTTCTTTTCTTTTGATAAGTGGTTTTAAAAAATTTTGCTTACTTTCCGTGTATTTACATTGCCGCAAGATTGAAAAAATGTTGATGTTATAGTCAATCCAATACTCTGTCGTTATTAACTGGATTTTTGTTACAATTGTTGCGCTATGAGAGAATGGTTAGTTTGAATAAAATTTTGATAACGGAATTCACTAAATAATTTCGAATTTAACGGATCATTGCAGGCATATGATCATCGAAGTAGCAAATTGAATGAGACATAATTTTAGATGATTGCGTTGCAAGGAACAATTCGTATAAATTTACGTTTACAATTATATCAATTGGGGATAATCATTGTTTTGTTGACTACAGCCATTTCTAAACTCCGTTTTTGCGATTACTGTGAGAAGTGTGGAATACATTATATACTGAGAATTATCTTTTTTTGTTTAATAATGCTTAACTTTTCCTTTTCGAATTGGAAAATTTTTGGAATGAGAATTCTTCCAAAGAAAGAGGTGCAACTGAAAATTGTATTACACTGTTTATTTCAATCAGATTTTTATCTCATTTGTCTGGTATTTTATTGTGCATTTATCTTTTTGATGTGTAGCTCATTCTGTTCAGATAATTCGACATTAAACCGAAAAAATAAAAACATTTTTCTCCTCAAATTTCAAGCAAGCATTCTCGTGGCACCGGAAATATCACAATTGTCAGTTTTTCAAACCTTTTTGTCTTTTTTTTTCATCATTTTCCCTAACAAACGAATAAATTTTTGTCCGTCTACTCATAGCGAGTATTTTTTTTTACTTTTAGGTCTCTCTTTTTGCAAAATTAAATTAAAAAATCTACGCAGTCTTCTCGCATATTTTCGAATTCCGAATAATCACATGACTTTTTATTACACATGTTCACTTTTTCTTTCAATTTCATTTCCGAACATTCTGGTTCAACTTGTCAGATTATCTGGTCAGAAATACCACCCTGCTCCAAACATTTTGTTCCTCCGTCTCACGTTCATTATTTTTTTTGCTTTTTTTTTTATTTACCAATGAAAATACATATAAACGTGAACCTCTTTCGTATCTTTAAAATTCAGTCATTCGAAATTACTTGCTTATGTTACTACTTAGTATGATAATTTAATTAAATTGGGACTAATAGGACGAAAAGTTTTTTTCTCCAAATCCCAATTTGTCGCTTATACATTAATTACTTCGGTATGCCGTCTTTGAATAAATATTTCATGATTTTTTTTCTTATGTACGTTTTTTCTGCGATTTACACTTCAGTACATATAGCGTGACTAATTCAAAGCGAAAAGAGATTTTACGAGTTTAATTACCCTCTTTTTTTAACCCTAAATAAGTTCATGGGCCTTAACTTTTACTTCGTTTTTGACTCCAAACATTTCTATTTACATTTCTAAGGTCCAGTTAGACCGAATTCAGTTGAATGAAGAGGTAATTTTACGGCCAATTAGAGCACAAGGCGGAAATAAAACGATTTTCCTTTTTAAATAATTCAGAGAACTTAGTGCAACTGGACCTAGTGGCAATTTCGTTTCTCTTTTCATCTTCCAAAATTTGTGAATGGTTGAATTTATTGATTTATCATTTTGTCAATACTTCGGCTCCAAACTTACTACATAACTAGCCACTATTGAAACAATTATTTTTCCAAAATATTAAAACAGTAGTTTACGTGGAACTAAAATGACAAATCATAAGAGTTCATTCGTCTTGTGAAAAACAATCTAAACTTACGCATTAATTTATGAGTTAATTAATCTTATCCGGACTGCACATATTTTTGTCAGAAAATACTGATTATGAGAATATCCGAATAAACCGAGACATTCTCATTTTTGTTTTATTACAAAAAGCTCAAAATGACTAGATGGAGGAAATCAATTAATTACTTTTCCATACTTGAATTAAAGTTAAATATGTCAAGCTCGTCCGAATAAGCTTTTACAGTTTTTTTCGATTACATATGCTTCAATTGTAGTATGCAAAAAGGTTTTTTTTATTATTTTTATATTTTTTTTATATTTTTAGTTTCGTTAGCGTTAAATTTTCCATCGACTTGTTTGTTATTAACTTAGTTCCTACATAATTACGGGTATTCCTTCCTGATAATGATAACTAGCGTGCGAATACAAGAATAACGTCTTCTAAAATGGCGATACGAATGCGAAATTTACATATATACAGAAGAGAAATTGGAGAAATGTAGTTTCATAATTATTTTTCGAGATTTTTCTGCTTATTCGTATCGGTTTTTTTTTTCATTTTTTCGCCTTTATTTCCATTAAAGTTGTTAATGTAAAATAAACTTTCTACTGCTATCGAAGGAAATAAAAAGGGCAGTCTTCACCTCCTAAATTAATTTTTAAACGATAATGAACAGGAAAAATCGACTGCAAATAAACATTAATATCTCAAAGGAATATCTCCAAAAACTACCCATTTTGCTGCGCGTGATTTGCTGAATATGTCATTCGCTTTAGGTTTTTCTTTTTTTTTTCATCTTGTTTATCATTTTTTTGTTCCACGAACATTGAATTTTGGTTTTTGTTATCATGAAGAATTTTTCAAGTTTAGTCATGTTCAAGTTTTCTTTTTGGTTTTTTTTTTATGTGAAAAGAATCATAGAAAATTATCACGGCAAAAATAAAAAATTTCCGGCATTTTTTGTTTGAAAAAATGATAAATTCTATTGCGACCTTCTACTATTTTGTTTTTCTTTTGCTTGTTGTGTACGTTAATGCCCAGCGAAGTAGTCCATTCTGTCGTAATGATGAAAAATGATTAATTAACAACTATTTTATGCAAGGAAAATTCTGCAACGTATCACTTCTGATATTATGTTATTGTTTCTGTGTTTTATCATCATTCTCTGTTCCAAAGTAAAAGACAATCTCGGACGATGAATCGAATGGTCTAACATTTATTTGTTGTTCCTTCTAAAAAAATCAAAGGCTTTGTTGTTCGGCTGATAAACTCTGTCTTACAATTAATTTAATTATAGTTCTTTTTCTGTATATTATTAAATATCTGTAAATAATCGATGCATCTCTGTGGTATGAAAAAATAGATTGTGATCATGCATTATATTCACAAGTGAAATATACGATAATTATAATTTTTCCATGTTTGTTTCATCTGATCTTTTAAAAAGTCACAATGTTGAATTATAATATTATCGTAGAGAGTTCACTTTGCGTGTACGTCACGGCCATCGACTTTATCATAATCTATGAATTATTTCATTTTATTAGTTGGCTTTGAAACAAGTACTTTGAAGTAAGTAGTCATATAGGCCATTTCAGTCATTGATTCGCTGTTATGTACTATTGGTTATTTGTTTATTTATTTTCAGGTTGTTGCTCATGTGCTATTGTTGTATGTGGTTGAGTACGATTCATTAACGCCCGAGATTACCGAGATTGCAATGAAACACTGCTTGGTAAATGTATAACAATATTTATAATATGATATGCAACATTTATTATCTAATTCCCTTAGATCGGTACTAAATTGTTTGCTGGGCATTTCCCTAATTAACGAACAAAATTGTGTTATGGTTTACTGATACAATTCAATAGTGCATTTTACTTTATTGATTCATTTTTCATTAATTTTCTTCTGCGGTAGAAAACCATAATTCTTAATTACATAAGTAACAGGTAATAAAAAATTGGTTAACGGTTGTTTTTCTGTTTTTTTCTTTCTCTAAAATAACTCTGCAGCTGTTGCAAAGTATTTTGAACGGTTTTCTGGTACTAGTGTTTAAGTTAAAATTCTTCCTGCATTTATTCTTCCCATTTTCACAGTATTTGTTTTTCACATTTTCATGTAAATATATTATCAATAGTTTATATTTGTCATCTGCATTTTGTTTAAAGTTTGATTGTATGTGAGGTAAGGGAGCCGTGTTAGTCCGAATAATGAAATATTTTGAGAATTACAGAAATAAAATGTTTAAGTACAAAAATTGTGAAAAAAAATGGCCATTCATTAATTTTATTATGTTCTGTCAACTGCAATTCTCAAAGTAGTTCGTATTGTGGAACTATTGTCATCTGTAAAATATAATATAAAAAATCCTGAGTTGTACTGTGGTGGTACTATGGTTATGGAATTACGGTGAAGAAACTCAATGCTGACTGAGTCGATCAATCTTTATTAATCATTGATAAGTTGGATGTAGTCGTGAGTTTTTAAAATAGAATTACCACTTATACCATATCATGTTCACCATTATAACAAACAATAATGAAGAATAACTGAGAAATTTATTGAACTTAGAATCCGTGAAACTTTAATATAAAAATGTTGCTGTAACAAATCATATGAAATATTGTCTACAGTCAGCACCGATTTTCGACCATTTTTATTAATATACTGATTATTTTCATCTATATTTCATTTCATTCTTTTAATTAAATCTGCATTGTTTCTCAATCACTGTTTTTAATAATAAATATCATTACTCTGTTGAGCTTGTATTTCGATTGGCTGTATATTGCAATATTGGTGTGCATTGACGGTGAAAAATATAGTTTTCATCACTGGTAGGTATTATTAGTTTCTTTGTGATTTTATCATTTTTTTAATTATTATTATTCTCATTTGTTTGCTGTTTTATGAATTTTCATTTCCCATCGCACATCGCGCTGCAATAAATTCATTAAAGTAAATATAATTCTCTGTAAGAATATAATATTGTTGTAAATATCTGTAGTCTGTGTAACACTGTATAGCAATCAAATGAAACAACAAGTTTTCCTTTCTTTTTTTATTCCACTATTTCTTTTTTCCTTTCGGCTATTATTTTTCTCCTGTTCATCTGGCTTGCGGAAATATTAATCAGTACGTGGTGGGATGGCTGCTCCACCTACGGCATTAATTAGTCGTTCTCTCCTTTTTATTTATTTTTTTTTTTCATTTTTTGCAGTTTTTTCCATTTTTTTCTTTTTTCGTCACTTTAATTGACGATCCATTTGACACGAGCGCACGCACATTTTATTCATATTTTCATTCCTCGAAATATTCGTTATTTACAACTAACTATATTGTAACGTGTGGATACATTCTTTAGCCCATTTGTAGGCGCTACGGAAATTTTTTATTTGCAACTATTTTAATTCAGCTCACAGAGCGTTAAATTTTGAATGTAGCGTGTCTCGTGTCTCCTCATCGGTTCCCGACCGCATGTCTTCCTTACTTCTTAATACACAATTATCAGCCTTATCACTTTAAAAAGACTATACACTAAAAAAAGTCATCGATTAAAAGTATCAATACGTTCCCTATTGAATCACAAGTTGATTACTTATAAAAAAAATAACTAAAAAATCATAAATCCTACATTTTTTTTTTCATTATCACAAATCATATGCTAGGCAATTTTTATCGGAAAATTATGAAATCTGATGGATTTGTGGGGTGTAAAAGGCAGGAGCCCTCACAGTTACCATTAAAAATTATTTCAACGCATAGCAAAAGAATCATTTTATGAGGTCGGCGGTTGGTTAATGAATGAATTAATTAATTAATATATAGAAACCTGAGAGAATTCTTTTGTTTTTGTGAATTTCTTCTCCAAAATTTTGCCCAATTCTGATTGCACGCACATGAAAATATAAATATATTACCTTTTCCAGGGAAAAATAATTTCTACTAGTCAGTTTTGTACTAATGGGAGTAAAGCTCAGTAATAACGGAATGTTTTACGTGTATTGGAATTTTATCCATATGTACGAGTAGTGGAAGTATGAATGTCGCAATTATCATTAATGTAGAAATTACTCTTATGATTCCAGTGAGAAAAATGATACTTTTTTGCATGCTTTGCTTACAAAAAATGCCCTTTTTTCATCAGTACTATAAAATTTTATACGATACATGTGGAAAAAAGTTTTTCCTGGTTACAGCTCTCACCATCAGCTTGACCTGTAACCCTCATACCCGTGAAAACACTACTTTTTTCACTTACATCGTCATTTACTGTGACGCGAGATAGAGCTAATGACCAAATTTATGTGTAGGGATTTTATTTTTATTCGACGAAGGGGCACTTTGAATTGAATTTCATAAAAAATTTTCTAGGACCGGTTTCTGTTTGCTGAAGAGAAATTCACTTTTCACTTCAGAATTTATGGAAATACACATTTTTTCTCCTATTTGAGATGGTTCAGTATCAATACGGAAAACATAATAGAATGAGAGCTTCACGATTATTGAAACTAATTGAAGGAATGAATCTTGAAAATGTGAATGTAAAATTATCGCAATTGAAAAAGATCGAAAAATACGCTTCAAGATTTTCAAAGAAAAAATACGTTTCTAAAGAAAGAAAAGCAAAATTTTCATTCGAGATTCATTCAATAAATACGCCTTTGTGAGAAAAGGAAGTTAACTATTCAATGTGAATTACAAAACAGTAGATGTATAAAAAAAAATTGAATTTTTAAATTTGAAATTTCTACGCGTTCTTTTTTTTTTATATCTGATGAATTTCCCTAAACCTTTTTCTTTCAAAAATATTTATAAAATAATCTGATGCAAATTCATTTTGAACTTTATCTCATCCTTCGGAATCTCCCGACTGGAATTCACCATTCAACAACTAATGGAGCTTCAACTAGAAATTCTCCAATTACTACGTGCACAGAAAAATTAAAAATCCAATACGGCAGCAACAAAATTCTCAATACTCTCATATTAGTAACTATTCCTGATATTTCTTCCCGAGGTAATAGCATTGTAATAATAATTTTGAACTCTACCAACGACTTTCCACCAATTAAGCGTTTTAAGCATTAAAATAAAAACAAAAGAAAATGCCTTCTTACATTTTTCATTCATTAACCCCCCATCAGATTAGCCTCAGCCGTAGAATTAGAAAGACGCATTGAATTGAACAATATTTCCAAAATTCTTGGACTCATTGATCTGAATGACCTCAACGGGATAAGCACTATCCCCAATCTGTGCATGATAAGCTCTTAACTTTCCCTCCCCACCGCCGTTACTATCATCATTACAACTCTGCTGTTGTGATCCAGGTGACGCGACATTCTGAATAGGATCATTATTCTGTGATGTATCAACACCATTTTGTACCTGTTGATGATGCTGTGCCGTTGATTGTCCCTGTACTTGTACTTTGAGCTGATGCTGATATATTTCCTCTTGCAATTGTCGATCCGATGGATTAACATCGTGGAAACTGACGAGATGACGCTTTAAGTACAGCTTCGTCTTGAATGACTTGCTACATATAGGGCATGTGACACTCTGAGGATTGTGGATGAGGCGCATGTGCTGCCGTAGATTTGACAAGTTACTGTACATGCGGTTGCACACAAGACAGGGACGTGGGTCCAGCGAGTGCAGTTTACGCAGGTCAGCTGCAACACACCACACATACTTGCTCTAACCGGACACCAAGTAATTTTCTTGTTTTTTTTTCCCCTTTTTTTTCTTATTTTTTATTTCTTTTCAATAGCCAGCCCACAGCAACGAAAACGGTTAGCAAAGAACGTTAACACAGCAAGAATTTAATTATTTGATTTTATTTTTTTTAGTCACCAAAATTGGAAAATTTATGAATTTATGAATTTACTATTGATTTCTGTGTTTTTTTTTTCATTAGTAGGATCAATCCACCACAGGACAGCAACAACCAGCGAGACAAGATCAATCATATCAGCAGTAAATAACCCATTTGTTTTATTTTGCTGCCTGGACGGTACAAATATTATTTGAGATGGATTTTATTAATGCGTTTATTTTCTATTACTTGGAATAGTATAATTTTCTTGTTTATTCAGATTGAAAAATTTGACAAGAATTTTACTTCTTGGTATTTTCTTTTTGAAAATTTAACGTAAATGAAATATGTTTTTTTTTTCTTTCATATGAGCAAATAATATTTAGAATCAAAAATTGAATGTATCCACAAAATGTAATCAGTTTCAAGGGAAAACTATATACAGGCCACATAATAAATCACCAATGAAGGTAAATGTTTGTAAAAAATTATTAGTAAAACGAATAATAAAGCGAATGGAGGTAAGAATTTAATGACAAATTTGTGCCAAAAAAAAAATGACAACATGAATGAATGAGGAAAGTAGTCTAAACGATGATAAGCATGAAGTAATTTTCTATTTTTTTTAATGTTGAAGCATTTCGCTTTCGTGGTTTATCAAATTAATTTAAAGTATTCTATGTACACGTAAGGGCAGCATTTGTTAATGTCACAATTGAGCTTCTCGTAGAGAAAAAAAATGTATATTTCTAAAACTTTCATACAAATGCAGCTGACGTAGCTGCAAAAAACTGCACTCATTGGACTAACAGAATATTTTTTTATAATTAAAAAAAAAATGGAAAAATGCATTAAATTATTTCATCTATTGGTTTTTTCAAGGTCTTTTAGAGACCTTCGTGTGCCAAAAAGATCATCCTATCGCCTACCAAGCCCTACCGAGCTACACACGAGCTTACCATTTCAAACCGTAATTTCATCAATGTCGTTGATCATTTAATTCTTTCACTCACCTATCTCTCACACACATCATATTGTTTCATTACACAGAAAAAAATCTTTCTTTCGTTTTGTTCTCAAATTTATTTATTTGGGCAAAATTGTGATGTAATGGCTAGGTTGTTGCTGTTTGTAATGGTGCTCGCACTACCAATAATTGAACCATGATGGCTGTTACTTACCTTGCTCCTGATTTGATTCAGCATTACTGTGTGATGGGCCTGGTAATCCTCCCTCAATTCCACCGCCTGAAAAATTGGTTTGGGGTTTAGTTGAAGATACAAGTGTTAAACGATCGATATATTCTATTCATTCAGAAATTAATTACTTTGATAGGAGGAGGGGTACGATGGTAACACCTCCATACCACCGTCTAGGCTCAAAAAACCACCGGGAATTGCGTTCACTTCCTGTTTTGGTGAGTAATCTTCGTCACTTCCGTATTCTGGTAATTCCACTTTCGGCTGAAATTAAAAGAAAGAAAATTCATTAAATTACTCTTTATATTACTGATTTGGAAGATCTCAACAATTGGAAGATGCTCGATATTCAATAATAATTGGTTTATCCAATAGTTCCATAATTAATCCATATGAATATCACGAAATCCATTGATCAGAGAGGACTATTTCAGACAAAATGTTAACAGAATTCTCGGGAGAATAGGATAATTTTTTATAGAAGACATGTCTGAATAATTTATATAATATAATTTTTTCAAATCATTCATTTGCACTTCTCACAATTCTCTCGACAAAGAAAAAATGTTGAAAAAATGGAATATTAATGAAATGATGTTCAGAATGTAGTTGTCGATGGACTTGAGAGCTCTTGAAAATTAACCATTAAAAAAATTACCTCAACTATATCGAGATCTTTGTAACAGTCGAGCTGTACTTGTGGCTCGATGAGCGGACGAGTGCGCGGTGTGTTTGTAGCACACGGAGTTACTGCTGGTACTGGACTAGAATTTTTGGGTGAATCACTTTTTTTACACAGCCTTTTTAGAGGTGGCGGGCTGGAGGTCGGTGGTGATTTACTGCGCTCATCGTCGAATGTTGGTGAGATCAGGCCATGTTTGTTCAGGGCATGGATGTTGTTGCTTTTCGAGTGCTTATGTAAAATCAATTTCAAAAAAATTAATCAACTGTTGCGTGTCTACGACGAATCATCACATACATTTGTTGATGTTCATTCAGTCATTCCAAAGATGAAAAAAAAACATCAAAATTCTATCATATTCTACTTTGTAATCACAAATAAATGATTTATCTTAACAAAAATTTCAGTCCACTAGTTCTAATACATAAATTATTTTTAGTTAATGTAAAAAAATCAGACATGATTATATTTTTAAACATGAAAAAATTAATTTCCTATAAATTGGTAAACATTCTTAAATTGACAAAGTCAATTAGTCTTAACTATTATAACAAATATATTAATATTTTTGTTTACTTGATTCAATGTATCATTTTTGGATGAATACAAATGAATTATTAAATTAGCATAGAGTAATTAATTTCTAAGTACCTTTTCATTGCTGTGCTGATTATTTTGCGAATCCGTCAACCCTCGTATTTGCAAAGACTCCGCCGTTCGTAAAAAGGTGGGTAGTTCAGCCTGCGATATATTGACCTCGCCCGCGTACATGAACTCCAGAAGTGATTGGAGGTGTTCGAATTCAACATCTCGCATAAAGATTATTGGATGTTTACATGGATTTGTCTGTAAAAGAAACACAACAATTCAATAAGCATCCCCCCAAGGAAATGTCAATGGAACATAAATGTCTGATTATAGCTCAAAGTTTGTAAATATTTGTCAGGGCCTTGTCGATACATATTGATAAAAAATAAAGGGAAATGAGTCGAATAATTTGTATAATTCAATCCTTCCAAAGAAGGATACAACTTTGTAAAAATAATATTGGACAATTTGCAGAATATTTTTCAATTAACTTGAGTTTTGCGCCGTATTGAGTTGAGCAAATTACTTTTTTTAATAATTACATTTCATTTTGTGTCAAGTCGAATTCTAAATGATTACTACGACATTCGAAAAATATGGAAATGGGTCCCTTGAAAATGTATGTCTGTATTTTTAAAATAGAGTTGACCAACTCGTGAGTTTCGTGAGGAAAATTTTAAATTTATTCGTCTGTCGATAGCCAGAGAACTGAGAAAAAATATTCGCAATGATAATTATTGTCACTATTGTGATGGTAATAGCTCATGTATATAGCAGATGATGTAATCCATCTCTGTATGCAATATTCCAGTGCATATGGTTATATTTCTATCACTATGTCCCATCACTCCCCTCATTAATTGATAAGGAAAGGGGGACGAACTGTAAAAATCTCAGAACGTATAAATACATTTGTCCACATATAATGCGGAAACAAAAATTAACAACTTTTCATGACAATTCCGGAAAATTGATCCCCAATTTTTCCTCTGAAACGATCATATGCGTGATGCAAGCTGACAATACCTCATTATTGATGTAAGATCGTTATTTTCTAACGGGGAGAGTGAAGGAAAGTGAAAAGCGGAACAAAGTGAAATGTCTAGCTCATTTTGATTGTTAAAGTCTACAAGAGAGATTTTTTTCTGCCCCAGGCTCCCCTGGATAACGAAATAGAATCGAAATAAATTTCTAAATATAACAATAACGTAAATTAAAGATATGCGAATAAAAAGTATAAGATAAATAAATTACTTCGTTAATGAATAATCTTAATTAAAGTATGTTGTCGTGCAAAAATTTGAAATTGAAATATATCAAATACAGCATAAACAATCCAAAACCAATTTTTAGGAGATGTTTATATGAGATTTTCCGATCTTAATTTTGACATTTAAACATCTTCCAACTTTTTTACTATTCATTAAATATTCCGTCGGATTTTATTAATATTTTGAACGGTTCAATACCGAAAATCAAATTCAACATCATGAACTGTGAATATCGAAATCATTGCTAAGTGCACTTGAATAAAATCCTATGTTTAACTAGAAATGTTGTGAAGTATGAAGAATTAATTAGAAAGGGTCCATCGATTGCTTTCAGGAGTTTTCAATATATTTGAATTGATAACAAGTGTCTCTGATTTGACAAATCATATGTTCAAAATGCCTAGCCTTCCCTCCATTCTAACCACTCCCAAGCTTTCTAGCCATAAAAAATAAAAAAAAATAAAACAAAAATCTCAAAAAAAAATGTCTAACCAGAAAAACACATGACATAATGATGGAGGTTATTACTCGAACGTAAACTGGATTTATCTATAAAAAGAGCACTCAGCAGTCTAACTGTACACTGTTGCTTCTTACATAATCACATGGGTTATGGTGACACTTAGACAACTCCTACTTCCCCCTCTCCCTTGAAAAACATTAAATTCCCAATTGAAACCTTAAGAACAATAAAAATCAATAGGAGTCGTCAGCTTGAGACACGTAAAAACACCCTGAAATAAATAAAAAAATCCAAGATACCTTTTTGTAATAATTCAAAAATAGCTGACCAATTATCAGAGTAGATGACGGAAGTTTTATTCATAAAAGAGGAGATTAAAAAAGAGTCATTTTGGCGTAATGAAATGTTCGAGGTCAGGATGAAACTGGATTACGTGCCCAATGACTTACAATGAATTTCGCAAAAGTATAGGAGTGAATGATGACCATGGAGTGATGTAGGAGACGAGGGAGGGAGGGAGGGAGGTATTTGTCTGAAGAAAAATCAAATGCATAGTTAATGGCAGGAGAGTAATAAAGATATAATCTATAGATAGGTGGTAAACAATGATAATAATGTGATTGTAATAATTTAGTAACCTTGAACAACTCCTTGAAGTAGGGACTGCAGGCTGATAATACGACCTTGTGTGCCTGGAGTCTTCTACCATCACAGGCAAATGTAACATCGACAAAATCCTCATCATCCCGTAATGCCTCAAACTGGCTTGTAATATTAGCCTGAAAGTTGTTCCAACGCAAGCAAAATTGCTGCTGACTCTCCGTCATTTCCTTCACTTTATTAACCAAAAATCACCCATAAAATAAGCCGTTTTTTATATATTTCTACGGTATTGAAAATTTTTATTCGATGATGAATTAACACCACCGGCTCAACCACCACTACCGCCCCCCCTTTCTGCACTTGCCACACTCTTTATCGATTTTATTTTTGTCCGAAAATTTTTCGGAAGGTTGAATTCTTTTTTTTTTCTTTTACCACTCCAATATTTTCAACTTGCCGATTATTTTTTTTAGGTTGGTTTTAATATTATCCACACACTTGTTCCCGCGGTGAATTGATGAGAATTGAGTTGAACGTTTTCGCTCTGATTTTTGCAATCCACGGTTTTTCTCTCATTTGCTTTTTTACGGAGGAGACCCTAGGGTTTTAACCTGCGAGTACACCATTCATTTGATGAGTTTTATGTTGCATTCTTTTTTCACCCTCGCGTTTATTACATTTGAGATTTATTATTTATCGTTATTTTTTTAATCGTTTCGGGTACTACTGAGTTAGGATTATTTAATTTACAGTGTAACACTTAAACTTAAACTTATCATTCTGCATTACTGTAAAAATGTAAAATGTAAAAAGTGAATCGATGACTGAAGAGGAAACGTACGATATAAATAATGACAATCGATAGTCAGAGCTAGTAACACTCCGGCTTAAAATGTCACTAGATTTGTCGTTGACTTTCAACTTTTCATTCTTTTGGTTTTCTCAGTCCTTCAGCTGGACATACTTCTCCAGAATTAGACTTTATTTACACCTCATCCTCAGGAAATCTTTTTTCTGGGAATCAGCAAATTTATAAGATTCAATAAATCTTCCTTGTATGTTTGACAAATTTTTTTTAGTCGCAGTTTTTTTCATTTTTTGGGTTTATGCATGAGAACATGATATGATTTCCGGTTACTGAACCTAAAACTCCCCAGGTTATAAATTTATTGCACCAAAATTCAGGAATACAGGGAGTCAATCAAGAGGTTTCGATAATTAGAGAGTGAAAACCAAAAAAAATCTATGAGTATAGTCAAATGTCTAATGAGTGGCAAAATGAGTTTTCGATATAGTGCAGTGCAAGATATGAGCGATCAATGAATATTAAATAGCGGGAAATTCAAATGTGTTACTAAAGCAAAATACAAACGTTTCTCAACTGAATTGTTTATCTATTGTTTTTTCTATAACACGATGCAATTTGAGATGGTTCATGTAGAAGTAATTGTGATACATTATGATTATACATTTTTATCGATTCATTTTCACGCCGACCTCCAGCGGCTATGAGAAAAAATTATTGTTCGTATGAATACTTAATAATTTATTGTCATAGAATTATTCAATTCGATCGTTTTGCCAAGAATTTCGTGTGAACATTTCATAATTAATGGAATTATTAACAAATAGTGACGAAATAAATATTCGATAGAAAAAAATCACGAAAAAATTGTTCAATTTGGTCAATCTATGATTTTATCAATAAGCAATAATTCTTGGTAACTGTAATTGCAATTGTGGAAGAGAACGATTTCAATGCGTTAAGGTTAATAAAATTGGATTTCCAAAAAGTTTCAATCCATTAACGGACACAAGATTTCCCAAATGCTGGAACGGCTAAAAAACGTTCTTAATCACTATCCGAGGGATTGTTAATTTCCGATGCCATCAATTTTTGATGTATTGAAATTATATTGTTTTTTCATTGCACTTCTAACATTTGGATTTGCAGGTAATACCGTCATTTATTGTAGATGAATTGTTTATAGTGTTCATATGGCATTCGTAAAAATTATTTATTGCAATGAAATACATATGATGTGAGTTGTGTGAATATCCAGCAAATATTTATAATTATTAGTATTATTATATGAATTCTCTATCAACGCATATTCATGGATTATTTTTATTCATTGTTTTATGAAGAAATCTTTTTGATATTCAACTGGGAATTTTTTTAATAGAGCTTTCATGCAACGTCATCTTTGCTATTTTTAGAATTCGCATTTGGATATATGCGGTATATGCGGTAAAATTCAAAATTGGAGAAATTTATCTGTTAGGCGCCCAATATTCGAATCTTTTTCCAGTTTAGCACGAAACTGCGTTACCATCTAAGACGATAATATAGTTTTGTACTATAAATTGAAAAATCTTCATAATGCGGGGGAAGAAGGGACTTGGATCCTTAATAACTTGAAAAGAACATCTAAAAAATCAAAGAAACTTCATAGACAATTCTACCATTATTTTCAACACGCCGTATAAATTTAAAAAAAAGTCAATTTTTATTCTTCTTCGGATGAAATTCTTCAAAAGTCTGTAGTTATTGGAGGGAGATCTCTTATTCATTTCAGATTGATTAAATATGCCTAATACAAAATAGTTAATGCAAAAAAATTTAGTTGTTAGCTGTTTGTTTTCCCCGTGTAAACCCGGAAACTTCAACATATGCGAATACTGCATAGCAAATGCCATTTCTTTTCATTAAAAAAATTGTGCTCTTCATACTGAATATCCGGGAATATGATTTGTTAAATATTTATAGAATATTGTTGAATATATAGAGATCTGTAAAAAAATCACACGAATTTCATTTATTCATAAAATAAGCGATTGAGTTAATAATTAATGCTTTGAAGTTTTTTATTTTCTATCTGAAAAAATCGAAAATTTAAAAGTATACTCTAAGTAAAGACTCAGTTAATCATCTTTTTAGACATTCAACATAAAGGAGGAAATTTTTGATTGCAAAACAAAATCAATATGCTGTATAAAACTTAAATGTCAATGACTAGTACGTCATTGTAATTCTACACATTTCTATTAATTATAAAAAAAATCTCTAATTAAAAAATTGGAGGGCCTAGACTACTTTGCAAAATATTCATTTACTTGAAAGAAATATTCAGATTTTTATTAAAATCTGAGCTGTAAATATTTAAATATTTGCAACTATCTTTCTATAGAAAATCATTATGCTCATTACGACCTTGAATACTCTCTAAATGATATAATTACCATCAACGAATTCATCGGGATTTGCTTTTCAAGGAATCATTAATGATATCAAGTCAAGTATAATTCGACCGAAAAAATATGATTATCAAATATGAATAATTCTTTCAAATAAACAGATCCTTGGAAAAATGCACTTTTTGCAATAGCTGATAGTATTCGTCTAGGCATTCTTCATCTATTTTCCCGGCCTGCCAGGATCTCCGTTGCATGTACCAATCAGCTGATTTCCCTCAAAACTGGAGACCTATTCTCCCTATTCCTCAAGGCATTAGCGATTTCACGTCACCAAAAAAACACTTGTCTGTATATGTAGTCCAACATCCCTGATCGTGACACTATCTCATTTCCCCTAAAAATTATCCAATTAGATCATCACCTCAGAATAATTTAACCAATCGGAAAAAATAGATCTTACCTATCCATAACCCCTGAAATTCAGTGCTAACGGAATAGAATTAAGGTTAAGGCCTTTGACTATTATTCAATTTCAAGTTGTTTGTGGGCAGTTCGAATCTACCGCGATAGAGTGTCCCATCTGGGGGTCACAAAAAAAAATGGCTGTTTCCTAACGTGCACTGTTGCAACCAGTCAAAACAGTTATCCCAAGTGTTATCTCTTGAAAGAAAAACGTGAATGCTTTTGGAGATTATTTGAGGAGAATGCTTGCACCTAATAATTTCACAGTAAGTAACTGATATTGTTCAGTCATTTTTTTTCGGGGGTTAATACTGAGAATCTTTGGGGCAAAATTTTCACAACTTCTTGGCATTTTGCGATTAGTTTTTTTCTATAAAAAATTCAGTCTTTTCATTAGTTTCATTTATCACTTCAAGGATTATGGCTCTCCAGATTTTTGTGGAAGGAACAGGCATAGACGAACATCGATCAATATTGTTTCATGTAAAGTAGGAGATTCTCAGAATCAAAGAAAAACTAGTACATGCTTGTCATCTCAACCCATGCCTAGTGTATTTTTTCCGAGCAAAATAATCACCGGTTTTTTATTTCAAAGTCTGTGAATTTCTGGAATATCTATATTATTTTCATTGATTTTTATTCTGACGAAATTGATAGCTTTATCCTTTTTCCTTTCCTTAAATTGTAAACACGTGTGTTTAATCAATAAAGAGGTCACATTTTTACTAATAAAAATTGATAATAAGAGAATGGGGTTCACACTTATTTATTATCATAAAATAATTATTGTTGGATGGATTACTCATATTGATTACCTCATCCTATTTTAGGATAAAAAAAAGAACACTGTAGGAGCGATATGAAACACTTCCCTTCGAGGGATATTTTGCACAACATTTTGGTATTATTAGAAGGGCATTAGGTGAAGATTATACTCTATTTGAGATGCAGTATTTATAGTGTTTGAAACCATTTCAGAAAATTCCTGGGCCACTGGACTGGTGACTTCTCATTTCTCCACCCGTGAAACCATCAAACAGTGCAAAATATTCAACGGTGAGTACATCTTATGTATCGATGAATAAAATTAGTAATAGTAATTAATAATGAAAAATTTTAAGGTAATCAATCAAATCGATAACTTATCAAGGGTGAAAAAAAATGTAATACAATAACTGACGATTTTTATGAACAGAGATAGAATTTTCAAGTTTGATAAAATCATCACATTTACAATTTGACAGGTGCCAGCACTTGACGACTTTATTAAACTCTGATCCCAAGTTCAATATTAACAGCTGTCCGAGGTCAGGGGAGGGGATAAATTGTCATTACAGAGTTGAAAAATTTTTTTCCACACATTTTTCTAGATGAGTCACGTTCTTGAGATCACTGGCTGTGGGCTTGCATTGAGACGTCGAAATATTGGAAAGTGACAATGCTTGGAGTTTATTCAAGACTTTCAGAGACTAGAAATTGAAGGAAAAAGTATAGCTGTGTGATGGTGTGAGCAAATATTATGAGAAGGCACAAGCAATGAGTAATTTTCCAATAATTGGTGGCAAAACGGTATATACTGCAATTATATAACACAAAACAGAACCAAAAAGTATTTTTTATACTAATCATTCTGTCCATCTCACGAACGAATCACTTCTGATATAAATGGTAAAATATCTGATTTGTAGAATATCAAATTATATACAAGAATCATCTTTTAATATAGTATTACTCGCCTCTTCCGGATAGAATTGGTTATTTTCCCACGATATATGAAAGTATCTGATAAATTTCATTGATGTACCTCAACATTTTTTACTTTAACGATTCTTCGCTCAATTCACCGCGAACAGATTGAAGAACTATCATAGTAGAAGCTCGCAAATGTTTTGGATTGGCGGCTGGCATCAGTAGAATTATTTAATTATTTTTTGAAAACAATAAATTAATGAACTGTACACTATAAATATTCATATAAAGTCGGAACGAGTTCACATGATACGTATTAATCATATAAATTCTTCTTTTGAATTCAAGTCTATTTAAATATGTCGAAGATTATTTATTCTTATAACGATTTTTTAGGCATGTTGTGTTTTCAATTTATCTCATTTTTTCTGTTGAATCGAAACATTTGTAAAACAGTTGAACCTTTACTTCCTTCTTCCCGATGGCCTCATATCGTTTAATTGTTTTGCCGATATTTCAATTGTTGAGAAACTTCGCTAAGTGCAGAGCAAAAGAAAAATTGCTACTCAGAGGAATTGACAAGGAAAAAAAAACTAAAACCGTTCTCAGATTCACCGAATTATTCAACAGTAGAATTTTGATTTTCTTTTGCTCCTTATAGTACGAAAAATTCCATCAGAAATAGAATAGCTTTCAATAAATCACTAATGCCCCTAATGCAGAAGTTTTAACTCGACGAGATGACTGTGAACTCGTTTAAGTACCGTGAATATTCAGCCGACAACGTGTATAGACAAAATAGGCCACAAAAAGACAAATATGCTTGACGGAGGTCAACAGACCAACTGATTCAAATTGCTGCTGAGTATGAACTCATTGGTCCCCTTCTCCCCAAATTACTTTCAACAGCTCTATTAAAATTATCACTTGCCGCCATGACTACTTTCATTTTACTTGTTTATCAAATCATATGAATACGCAGGGAATTAAATCATATGTAATTATATAGAAAAACTAATAAAATTCTATTTTCAGTCAATACATACATTTAAGTGACTCTTGGAGTGATGGGAACCTTGTTTTGAAGAATAATTCAAATTTGAAGTAATAATTCTCACATGCTGAATAATTAATAAATTAAAAGGCTTTAGTTGAACTCGTTTTCATACCGTATCTTTAACTAAAACCAGAAACAGTGGAATTAAATATTTTAGCGGTCAAGTTTCTATTTAGTGAAATTATTGATATGATACGTGTAGGAATGAGTTGAAAAAATTGTAACGGTGCTTTTATCTCTGGTTATCTGGTATTTATGAATTTTATAATTTTTTTTAGGAACGTAGGACGTGTATTTCGTCGCCCACAGCGTCCAAGCTGGCCGCCGTGGAGGATGTGGGTCCAAACAGGACCGATACACCAATTCGTCCATCAACTGCCTCCCTGAGACTTTCCTCCACGACGCGGGCGACTTTGCAGTCATTGAGATCCCCGCGTAATAAGTTAATTACCTCTGTTAATACGCGTGACGCTGAAACAATCACAGGTGAGTCGTCACATAATAAAATCTTTTATTTTTTTAATGCGATCTGCCAAGTTCGCGACAATTAGTTGCTGCTCTATCATCGGCAGTTGATGTGTCCTACACCGAGAAAAACAATTACTTTTACCAAGTACATTAATAAATTCTGTTGCAAAGTGATACACTGGGATAAGTGCATTTTTTGGAGGCCAGTTTTTCGTCGATTTCTCGAAATTGAAGAAAAATAGTGATATTTTCATGGAGACCTTTTTTTTAGCTCTCATCTTTTCCTAAAAAAATGTTGCTGCAAAAAATTCGCTATGTTCTTTCAATTCTGAGGTATTGGCTGGAAGTTGCCCTCGAAAAAAATCAGCCTGTCCTAGTTTATTCAAGTATTCCTAGATATTTACTTGAACCAAATGAGCACTTGACAAAAGTAAAATGAGTTAGAATGATATTATTTAATATTTCTTTTTCAATCTATATGAAAATGGAGTTACTGACAGTGTCGATTGCTCCAGAGGTACCTGAGCGGAGGGTTTTATTGGGGTCTCAAGTATCACAGAACATAATAATCCAATTAACAGCATCATCTCATCTACATAGTGTTTATACTGCTCAACTTAATGATAAGTCATTGGCAGAGTCTCTATTAACTGTACATTTATGGTTTATATTACATTTTTTTCAAATAGCTGCAATTTTTTTTTTAATATTTGAAATTAAGTGTTTTCAAGAATTGTATAGGGTTGTATAGTGGAGGTAAGGCTTTGGTTGTTCAATTTATTTCATGATTTTTGCGCTGTTAGGAACTTCTTTAGTTGAACAAAACTTATATTCTGAAGAAAGTTTTGGTTATTCAACAAACATTAATTTTATGAATTTATAATTAAAATTTTGGAGCTTAAGAAGTCTTCACGAAGACTCAAACCTTTCGTGCAATATACTGATAGATTTTTTAAATTAAATACAAATGATGCATAGACCAAAATACAGTTGACAATGAACAAGTACTTCACGTATTAAAATATTTTTTGGTCACTTATCATGAAATGTGATGACATATATTTTGATTATTAAATTGAAAGATCACATCTTCGAAAAGCATGAGATTTCTCTGTCCTACGAGAATTTTTGAATTTTCTCAAGACGAGAAATCATTTTCTTCTCATGAACTCAAGTTCATGTCACTTGCATTATATTTAGAATTTTATATCTTTTAGGAATTTAATTACGTAATATCTTGCAGAACGAGCGTAAAATTTACGATCAATTTTACATGCGTTTGATTAATAATGAAAGGATTTATCGCCAATTCGACACAAGAATTCCTGAAATTTCTGAGTTCTGCAATCAAATGAGGAAACAATGCGATTAGTAAGTCTTTGCGATAAGAATCTCGTCCTGTTCAAAAAATTTTTTCTCTCAGTGTAAAAATTAAATTATCTATGAGGAATCTCACGATTTTACAAATTCTCGAGAGATTATTTTTTCATATGAAGTAAATTTTCTTTGTTGAATGTAATTTTATCGTTGAGTCTAAAAGCATGATGATTCCCAATTATTAATTAATGTTTGACCTAATGAAAAATAGCGTAAGTTACAAATCAGCGTTAATGAATAGCGAAATTATTTAATAATCGAAGAGGTCCAATATCAGTCACAGATCATCAAGGCAGTAATTTTCTTGAAAGACAAATTATTATTCAAAAAGATATTATTCAAGTCATTGAATGCAAACTATTTCAAATAAATTTTGTAGAACTAGATAAGGATTCTTGAATGGAAATTTCAAACGACAGAGATAAGTCAGATTGAACTGGCATAAATCCAAGGTGCTATTTTCAACTGAACGTAACTAGCTAACGCTTCTAGCTCAGTAATCGAATTACTATGATGATTCTTCTTTCGGTGGGCCAACAAAGAACGTAGTGCTTCAGTTGTACGAATCCTGAGGAGCCACCATTTAGTACTATTTGTTCTCAAATTGGTCAAAAATAACCTTCAACAAAATTTGAAAATTCGCAAAAAAGTTCTGTTCCCTAAAATACTGTTTTTTTTTTAGAAATTTTGGTAAATCACAAGATAGATATCGCATTTGAAAATTTAATGGCATTGTGAACCCATTTACTTAAAAATCACTCATGGTTTTCAAGTTATTAATAACTTTACAATATTGAGTGGATTGACGAACGGGTCGAATCCTCAAATTTATTACGCAACCGTTTTTGATGAAGTCATATTTTCACTGATCGAATTTCAACATTTAGATTGACATAATTAATTTTATTTTTTAACGGTGAAAGGAAAGTAGTGTAAAAATAATGTGAGATTAACACTGTAATAAAAATGTGGAAGAAATGTTTCCTGGTACAGCTACAATAAAGAAACCAAAACATCCTGCTAAACTTGGCAAATTACTTGAAAAAAGAAGAGAGGCAATTCTTAACAAATGGCGAGATGGTAAATTTAGACAATATTTATGGAATGCTGACCTTATCTTTTGATCAAAATTTAAGTTGCGAAAGTAAATAACTCGTTGTTCTTCAATTTTTGGGAAAAAATAATCTTTTTTGGTACAGTAATTACTGAATAATAATTTCGATTTTGCGTTTTTTAATAACCAAAACAATTGTTTTAATATTTTTCGAGTTTATGTTCAATCGATAAAGCAAATAGCGAGGCCATTGTTAATTATTATTGGTTCTGCTGACTGAATAACAAATCGAAAAACGCAGGAAAGATTATTGTAGTTGCTGAGAAATGCTGCAATATTACTGACTTGAATTAGTGCAAAAGAGACGCTATAAAATTGTAAAGTTCAATCATTACGTGTGTGTACGTATCCTTTTTTTTCAATTGTTTTTTACCACGATCTCTTCTAATTTGCGAATTTGTTGTTGTCAGGTTTAGACGAGAATTCGATAAACCCATGAATTCCTTTTCATTTACAGCGAAAAATTGGGGTTTACTGTGCATGAAATCTAAACCTAAAGTGACACCTAGAAAGAAGAACTGGACATCAGATTATTGATTTTATTGACTGTCTGTTCCATCAGGAAATTAAGAAAGTATATTATCTCCAAACGTCTAGGGACTATCAAGCAAGTTATCCGGAACAAATATCTCCGAAAAAGAAATAGTACAATTTCTACTTTAAAAACACAGGACGTCCTAACAAAATTAATTTTGAAACATAAAAAATTTAGCGGAAATGTTTTTATATATTGCATCTACTGAGCAAGTACACAAAACTTCAAGCAGCGTTTCAATAGAATAACAATAAAAATGAATTTGAAAATTATTACTCCACATGAAGCAAAAAGGGGAATTGGTATTTTCTATATTGTTATCAATCAGTCGGCAATGTGGAAAAATGCGGAATTTATCGATTTCCAATTGAATCTTACATGAAAGTGGTAACTTGGAGATTTTTTTTTATTGCTATGTTATTAGTAGACTACATGAAATTTTGGATATCGTTGAGCAATAGACTTGTCAATGTATTGAAAACAATTTTGTCGAGTTCTTTGCATTTTCGAAATACATTTTACTTCACTAAACTCTCTTAACTTCAAATTTGAAGGCATAATCATTCAAAATAACTCCAAACTAAATTTCTACGGTCTTTCATAAATAATACTCCGAAATTAATGACTCATTTTTTTCGGTTTGTTTTCATCAATTTATACTTACAATTTTTTGTTTTTCTGTAATCGATTCAATGTCAGGCTTAGGCTAATTATCCCATGACTAAATTAATCATTCTGGTCTGTAAATTAAGATTTTGAATGTCGTAAATTACAAGATTAAAAAGATAAATTACTCCAATGTTTTCATGCGTGACGATTTGAATGACCATTTTTAAAATTTTTTAAGAATTGATTTTTTTAATCACAATTTATTAATTTTTCCTATCACTTACGAGTGTGAAATTATTCTTATTGAATGCTGTTTGAAGGATTGAATCAATACTCAAATATCTGATGAGTTGGCAAACCTGTCGGATATTCCCTTGCTCTCAGTTTCTCCATAATGCGCACTGATATTCGAATTACGCGTCCAAGCGTGAAAACGTAATTGTCCCGAAACTCATAATTTTCCGTATCATTTGTTCAATTAACTGTCTTATGAAATCTAAAAAAAAAGTAAATTTGGAGGTGCTCAAAAGGAATTCTATTTATCGCCTCCTTTTTTTGCTGCAATAATTCATTATTTTTGAATGTCATGGAAATTTCTTTAATTGAGATTGTTATTAGTTACAGGGAATTAAAAATATCCAAATTTATCACAGCGTAAACAATTTTTTCCGTTGTTATATTGTTGAAATGAGGAAATAATTAATAACTAGGGGAGACCCGGGCACAATGGAATGCGGGTAAAATGGGATGAATCGAAAGGTTCAATTTTTAAAATGTTTTTTAAATGTTTAATGTTAAAAAATAAAAAAAGTATGGAAATAAAAGTATAACAAAAATAAATAATTAAATCAACTGTTAGACTGTCTTCAACATTTATTTGGGAGAAAAAAATTAACTGTGAATAAGTTAAAACGTTTTCCCGCAAGTGTCTTTTTTGCCGAGCTCTCCCCTAAATGTTGATATTTTTCAAATAAAATTTTTTCTAATGTTGAATTTTTCATCTATTTTTTTTAATCCTAGCTATCTGTGTGTCTCATCTATTATATTCCAGGTTCATTTGATTATATTTGAAAATATTTAATGATCGCAAATGACGTCGAATGCATATTGTTAATTTACTTTTATTTGCACTGAGATTTTGCAAAAATGTGTAAAAGATCTAAATAATATAGTGCGATATCTTCTGTGAATTTTACATTCTTTTCTCGTCATTCCATTTCTAATATCTAAAATTTTAGACGGAATCGATTAAATATTTATCATTCGCGCTTCTTGTGCGATATTTGAATGTCATACTTCACGGATGAACATGTGTTAACTATGCGTAAGAGCAAGCGAATCAAAATAACGAGGCAGAGTTTGATCAAATCTCTGAAATAACAAGGAAGATTGATAATTAAATTGACGAACAGGTGAAAATGGATGGCACCGACTGTAAACCTTTTCTTACGTTTCACGTTATCAAGTTAAATACACGATGAACAAAATAACGAACAAAAATCACAAATATTTCCTGCTATACGAGTCTGAATCCTGAACGAATTATTCAATTCATCAATAGAATAAATTCGGCGAATTCTTCGGCGCGTTTTATTTCTGGATTGAGTATCCCTCGTCTGTTCCGCACTAGATCGTTATTTTTCCCGATTAAATCTGTGTGTGAGTACAGAAAAAAATTCCATTATTCGTGCCACTCTCTCGAAATGATCACTATAAATTTCGAATTTATTAAATATTAAAAGGAGGGAAACGATCAATTTTTCACAATCTTTTATTTCTGTACATATCAATCTTAACGATTTCAACTTTTCAATTTTTATTTACATTAGGCGTCCGAAGGAGTCCACAGAATTTAATTTAAAAAGTGTGAACTAATTCAATTCTTATTTTTTACAATTTGAAATTCAACAGTTTTCAAAATCTCCTTTGTCCAAATTTTATTTTTGATTTTCCAATCAAATGGATATTATTAAATTGCTGACAAATATCCGTCATGAAAACCGGTAGATATTTTCTGGAATTAAATAATGGACAAACAAGTGCTGATTGAACTTTGAGAAAAAGATAGAACTCCATCGTATTTTCTCATTATCCCTTTGAATAGCAATAACAGTGGAAAAAATTCCCATATTCCGGAGGTAGAATAACACCTACGTGATCCTATAAAATTCTCATGTGCATTATTCAATTTCTAACGGTCCACTGTGCAATTGTTTACAGACGTGTGTAGTGGAGAAGAGCTTCCAGAAGTGGAGATAATAAGTCTACTGGAGGAACAGATACCCAGATACCGTCTTCGCGCTGATACGCTCACACAGTTTCAAGGTAAGGTCTCTTCACTGTCTGTCTTGTAAAGAAATGATAAACATTTTTGAACAACTTACTGTTCATTTCAATCCCTTCAAAAGTCCATTTGGATCAAGTTTCATGATTAGCAGAAGTGACACTGCGCCCTCGAGGCCACGCCTTGAACCTGTCAGTTCTTTTCCTTCTAATCAAACTTTCGAGGCTTCATGGTTCATTGGTCTTTGTCAGACTTCCATTAATCATCAATTATACTTGATGTAAAACATTGTTATGTATGATTTCTATTCGTCAAACTTTAAACTCAGAATTGAAGAAGAGGATTTGGCAGAAGACTCTCGCTGACAAGAATTTTCACCTCTAACTTCTCGTTTAGGGAATACTCATATTGTAATCCGAATATTGTTTGCCAAAATACATTTATCTATTTTATTATTCTTCACAGGATACGAGAACGCAGACTGGTTTATCCCTACACCTGCACTCAGTCAAAAAGAAGCTGACGTTAAATTATCACAGGATCAAATTCGAGAAACACTCAACTACTTCAGTGAGTAAAATATTTTATTTTATCGCACTTGCCCACACAAAATGCAAAGAGGTTGAAGACAAAAGTATTAATTCATTGCATTTTTTTTATAATCGCAAGTAATAATGACTGCAGTATCGAACGTGTTTACAATATGCAATTTTTTTACCGAAGAATTACCCAAGAAAGTAGTTTTTAAAAATATTTTTCGGATCATTTAATCATTAAATATATTCTAGTGGCATTGAAATTTTATGTTAACTTTCTTAAGCTATTATATAAACTGTTCAGAGTCATGCGATGTTCGTGTGTAGAAGATATTTTCTGGGATTAAAAGTCATGTTTTTATATCATGATTTCTCTTTTACTGTTCAATCCAAAGTGATTAAAATATGATCACTGGGGTAGAAAATCAAAAATGGGGTTTACTTTTTATTAACCAGCCCATGCGTTTAGAAATATTGTAGCTAGGACGTTGAATGCTCCAACGGTTCTTTAACCTTGTACAGCGATTATTATTTCAGGACAATCGAGTATTATACAAATTCTAGTACGATAATAACAGCTTTGGCGGTGATTAACGTTTAATCCGTCTTCTATAATGTTGACTGTAGCCTACATTTTTCGTCGATCAAGATATCATCAGACGCATAATTAGTCAATATAATTCATATGAATTTTTCATAATTCGTGGGAAGATCTCATGAAGTGGAAGTTTGAAACAGTTGTTAAGTGTTTGTTATCTCCATAGTTTCATGAGTTTACAACTCGATTTACAGTTTTCAATTCACTCAAATAATACACCACTGTAGAACGAGTTGATGCTCATTTTTTCACCAATTAATAATTATAAATAATTTAGATTGGAAAAAAAGATGCAATTAATATCTAGAAGAACTCCACCAAATCATTCCAGATGTTTTATAGCGGAATGTGTAGATTTCATTTACCTATTTAAGGATCTAAGAACCTTTTATTATGGAGGGGAGGGAGCGATGGTTTTGAGTCGTATATCTAGAACTGCCAGGTAATGGTTTTTTTTTTTCAATTCTGTATCATCGCGAAGTCTCCATGAGCTATCGGCAACATCATTCGCAAAAGCGAAGCAATTATTAATTATTTTCATTAGTAATAAATATTTACTATAAATATAATATTTAACCGTGGGCAGACTTACGCTGTCCTCATGCAGCTATTCAATTTGAAATATATTGGATATTCACCCAATACCTAAATCCACTTTCAACGTGGAACTTGTGATCGCTCATCGGGAATTTTGAAAGTCCCAACTGAAGATTAATGAAGCCCTTAAATTTAGACTTTCAAGTCTCAAGTGAAAACTTGTGAAATTCTCCACGTAAGACTTTCAAATATGTCAGCTTGAGATTTAAAATAATTTTGAATTGACTACTTTGGAAGTCTCGATTGGAAGCTTGACTGTTAACTATAAACATTCGAGTCTCAACTCATGTTTATTAGGATTCATCTTTTGTCGACTTTGGTAATTTTCAAGTTTTTCGTTAACGTTAATGCATTCAATTTTTCTCAAATTGGAAATAGTGGGACTGTACATGAAGAACTTAGATGCTCACGTACCACAGGGGTACCAGTTTTATCTGATGTTTTTGTGCACTGACAGCAGCGAGAGAATATTTACCTCTATCTAGATCTATATATTCACATTCTACGATTGGAAATCCAAATGATTGTTGAAATTTACCTATTTTTAAACTGAAGTTTTTGTATGTCTTAAGTTACAACTCTCACATCTTGAGTTCGGTTGCGAAATCTTAATCTGAGATTTTAATCTTAAAAATTTTCGAAACCCTTTCAGCTCGAATTCACGTTTTTAAAATTTTTCTCACACTATTAATGGGGCTGACGTGCAGAAGATATAACGTTTCTGCGTTTTGTTATTATTTAATGGCTCACGAAGTTCCGTGGTGGGGCAATCATTTTCATGGGTTTTTTCTACAGTTCTGTGATTCTTTTCAAAAGTTTAGAAAAAACACTGGATAATCTTCTCACCAGCTTGAATTTGTACTTGGACTTACGAAATCTTAAATTAAAAATCATTTTTTTCCGCCATACCTGCACGGAAAGTTCGATTTTAGTCCCGAAATGACGGGATGAAAGTGGTCATTCCATTCCTCCGATTTTTGTTGATTTTGGGGATCCTTGGGATGACATAACCCACATTCTTCCTGTCATTTATGAAGATAAATCTAACTTTTCCATGTAGTGATAACTACATGTGCACCAATGTGCACCGAGGAACTTCGTGTGAATCCGATAAAAACTAGTGTGCTGCCTTAGAATCTCGATGTAAATTATTAGCCTAAGAAAAATTAAATTTACCTAATTTACCCTTAAATTAGCCTAAGAAAAATTACTAGGCCGCCCAGTAAAATTTTTTCAGTTACCATCGTTAAGTTCAACTTCGGCAAAAATCGGAAACATTCGGTATTCATCGCCAACTAATCAGATCGGTTTAAAAAATGTTCGGAAAAAATCCCGTGTAGCACAGTAAAAGTTAAGAGAAAGGACAATAAAAAATACCGATTGGGATAGGAATTTTTAAGGGATTTTTATCAATTTTTCCTTCAAACTCCAATAAAAAATGATATATCTTTAAATGTTATAGTGTTGCTTGCTAAATTTAATGGCGTCGCATACGATTAATTTCGGAATATATTAGAAAATTCAGGATTTTACAACAATTTTAATTTGTGAAAAAAAGAAATTCTGGTATTCTAGAATTTTACATCACGATGCAAGTGCTCGGCACAATCATTTTTCTTGGTCTTTTCTTTTCGTGTATTATATTCATCCTGTCAACAGAGAAAGAATAGGGGGGGGGGGGGGGGTGCTTTGGACGATTATAGGACCTTTTCAGGACTGCCTTACGATGTACATAATATTCCGATACCTTTCTATTAAGACTCCCACCACCTGAATCTCTCGTAAATATCAAGGGGCAAGCCCTGAGTGAATCAGATCAATTAAAATTTCACTGACGAATATTTGTGGAGTACAAAAATAGACATGTCGCAAAAATACTATACATGGTTTTAGACTAAAAACCATCCAGTCATTTTCATTGAAAAATCATTTTTTTTACGTGGACAACGATTTTTAATGAATCCATAATTCTATTTTGTCTCTACGTTGTTTTAATTGTATTTTTGTGCAAATATAGTCACACGTACTCTTGTGCCAATACCTTAAGTTAGATGAAAGTTTTCTCATCGATGTGAGTACATGTACTCATGTGTACTCTTGTATCACTAATTCACGTTCGATGAAAGTCGTCACATTTTTTAAAATCCAATTACTTTATAATTACATCGAAAGAAGAAGTAATTCATCCCATAATGTCTATAATTTGAAAATATTATTTGTACATTATAAAATTTTCTTAGCTTTCTAGTTGAGAACAAAATTATAATTGAAAACAAAATTAAATTGTCAAAAGCCCATTTTTTTCTACTCCTCAATTATATGGCAACAATTCAAGAAAATATTTCTAGTCAGCGTGTGGTAGTAGATTATCTTACAGTGATTGTTGAAATTACTGGAGATCCATCTGTCAGGCAATAAACCGTCAAACCTGCGTTTTTTTCCTCAATTAGTTTATCTTTATAGTACATCAAAGTTCTTAATATGCTTTTTGTCAGCGAGATTTCTACAGTATTGATGAAATAATTAGTTTCTATTGATTGAAAATGGAATAATTTCGTAGTTAAAAAATTAAATGTTAAAAGTAATTAACAATCCCTTCTGCTTCCATTTTTGCATAGTTCGCCCAAAATTAACAAATTCTAAATAAATAGAATTGCAATGATTTTTAATTGCTCCGACAACAAGCTGTTTGTTGACTATTTTATAGTCCGCAGAAACCTGAGAGTCCACGTGCTTGCGAAAAGAAAACGAATTCTCAAATGAAGGCAACGTCTAAAAAAACTAAGACTTAAAGTGAAAAAAATAAATTTGAAATTAAAAAAATTTTCGAATAGTTGATTCAACTAGACTTTACTTTACTTGAAGAATTCCCTTTCTCGTTATTAGAAAAATATCTTCGTTTTTGGGATTCTTCAGACGAAATCCCAAAATTTTTTCCTCATTGATAATGTTTGCTTGTTTTTTTTTCGAAAATTTACTAAGCACGGCTTTTTCAGTACAAGACGTAACTATTTTTATTCTCAGTTGAATGATTTGCTTTTAATTCAATAAATTTAACGAAAAATTAATGTAAAAAAATTAAATAATTCATTCATCTGTTTTGACTTTCTATAATTGTTTCTTTAATTAATTATGTATAATTACATATTAAACAGTAAATTGGCGCGAATCATTCAAGAGATCAAATAAATGAAATTGTTACTTACTTCAAAAATATTGTTGATTGTTTTTAATCTAATTTAATAAAAACAGTCATTTTCGATTGCAAACAAATACGACATTTACTACATTTTAGTAAATTTTTGTCTCGGTGCCCTTCGGAAGAAATTTTTTGAATTTCATTCATAAAACGTCATTGGAAGAGTCGATTTTTCCCTACACAACTGTCCCAAGAGAGAAGCGCGCGCATACTTTATCTATATACGTACCAATCTTACATTCCGCAGTTAAACCCATTCTAAAGTGGTGGTAGAGTCCAGTTATCTATGTGTCGGCGAATCAACTCGCGGTTTTCATCGAATCTAGTTACACTCGTACATTTCCCACGGCACCACGCATTTTTCACGAACACGTGTCACATCTACTCGCGAATTCAGCCCGTAATCCTAAATCATCAGTTCATCATCGAAAATTATCGACAGAGTGTGCGAATTAAATAGTGATTATCAAAAATCTACCAAGAAAAATAATTTTTCAATCAATCAATTAATTGAGTACTGAGCAAGTATGAGATTCTTCGTACGAAATCATTGGAATCTAGAGCACTTTTTTTTGTTTTTGTGGAAATGATAATATTTGCGTTTGGAGTATCAATACAATGGATCGAACTCTATGTTATT